AGGCGATCTTACATTCCTGTAAAATGAACTCGAAAATTATTGATAATCATTATATACATATGGTATATGTACATAATATATAGTCAATAGTGTTTCTTGCTGATTATCAAATGGATTACGATTATGTTGATGCCTTAGAGCTCGTTTTTAAATTATTGCGCTTTTTTTTGTGTTTATTTTCGATATTTTACTTACTACGGAAGTGCATCGTGTAGCTATTTTTAGATACTGTATAAGTAACCGAAGGTTGTTAGCAAATTTATTTATGGATATTTAAAAAAAAATGAAATTTTATTTTATTTATTATTTTATAGCTACATAATATAATAATATATATAAAAAATTTTTAGTTGAATTGACTAAAGAATTTACAACTTGTTCTCATTTTATTTATTATTTTTTTTTGTTTTTTTTTTTTGCAGTAAGATGTTGAAATCTAACTCAGAATATTTTCTACAATATTGAGTTTTAATATACGATCATGTAATAAACATAATATGTATATACAGCTGGTAATCATGAATATTTAATTTAAGCGCAAAGTCCAATTTTAAAGGATCGTAGCACAGAAAAGAATGTTACAAATAAAATATTTATGAATAAACACTTAAAAGCATATACATATTAAGAATACTTACATATTTCTCTGTTATGTAAATATGTGAAAAAGGTTCATGTACATATATGTATACATATTTATATACAAAACATACAAATATACTGAAGAAAATAAAATAAATCTTTGCAAGTTTAGCAAAGATTTCAATCTGATTGAATTTTTTTGAATAACTTTCGGGTAATTATTAGTAATTAATTATCTTGATAAATATTGCAAAGGCAATTTAGAGCTGGTTCTAATAATTGAGTCATAAGACATGGTTGTATTAAATACTGAAATTCATGAGTTTTTTAAAAAAAAGTTTAAAAAATATTCTTTCATATTTACTTAGAGACTTTCTGTCTAAAAATAAAAATATACCTAAAAAATTCATTACTTTTTCAACTAATTTCATACTTACAATTTCTTAAGTTAATTGCAATTCTTTCTATAAATTAAAATCCCGTTTCTTAATATTTATTGTTAAAAACTATACCAAACATTAAGAAACGGATATTTCATATTGTATAAGTACACATATATAAGTACGTAAAAAATTATATGAATATGAAAACGCAAAAATATAAAAATGGCTTTTAAGTTTTAAACTGATAATAATTAATTGCATTTTTACTCCTAAGTTAATTGTTTTGTTTACAAAAATCAAAGCGTTTTAAATACCTACATATTAGAAACAAGTTTTTTTTATTAAATTATTTGTATATTTTTTAAGTATTCAAGCAGTTGTATATATTACATACATATGTATGTATATTGAAAGGTGAATGGTTAGAGTTCGACAACAAAGTTAAATAATTGCTTTAACCACTTTGTAAATTGCATTTGTTGGGTGAACTATAAGGAAAACATTTAATGTAGATTTTCCATAATGGCAGTCAAATAAGTATCCATAATGTTGCTAGTCTATTCTATACCAACTTGTTATAATAAAATATTATTCTGAAGTCCTTTTTAAATCTGTTATTATAATATTTATGAAAAAAAAATTCTGCATTTTAAAATTTAGCTTAAAATTTTGAAAATTAAAAAATAATGACTTTATATTAATTTATAATATTCTGTTATATTGTTCTTAATAATTAAAATCAGTCCTAGTCAAATTCTTAGTGAGAGAGAGCGACCCCTTCCGGCCATTTACGCGAATCTAATGCGGTAGGTGAATATCGGCAACCTTCAAACTAAAATTTGTCAACCGCCCAAGTAGTGTAAATCGCAATATCTATCTAACGGAGCAGATTAACCTCCTTAGTGAATGTCGAGAGCAGCGCAAAAAAACTCCTCTATAGCTACCCAAGGCCGAAAAAAGACCTCCACGACGCGTTTAAGGAACAGAAAGCATGTTCCACGTCCTCTACTTCCGCTATATACTGTGATCGCCGATAGACATCCTTTGTCCGAAATTGGATTTTGAACATTTAACAAGATTTTTATTATTAGCCTCACAAAAATTATCAAAAAAATATCAGATTAAAATTTTAAAAATAGAATAGAATTCAGATTGGTTTTACCTAATACATATTATAAAACTATTCTTGTTATTTGATTTTCCAAATCAGAATTACTACCCGGTACGGGTACCTTATACATATATATTAAAATCAGTCATCAATTAGTTTATAAACATTCATAAGAATCTTAAAATATGGAAAATTTTGCAAAATTTAACTTCTAGCTACTTGTTAACATTTTCTCAAAAATCTGCTTTTCAGATAACCCTACATAATATACAAAACATTTTATTTCCCACATAAAATATTCAATTAATAATTCAATAATTTATAAAAAAACATTACCACCCTTATCTAGATTAAAATATGTACATATGTACATAATTTGTACGTCCTTGGAACATAAGCAGAACTAAAACAAAAAATAAATTAAATTTCATATTTAATTTCTATCTATTTACAGTTAAAACTAAAAGAAACAGTTTAATTTTAATTACAGTTATTGGCACACGAGACCCTAGAATGATCATATATGTACTTAAGTATATAAAATAAGCTGAAAGTTTATTTCCAGGATCATTTTAAATGAGCCCGAAATTGTTTCACGAAACATACATTTTCGATAACCTTAGCTAGACATCATAACAATAACATAGAAATATAAAGAATTTGAAAATTCTTCGGGTTTAAAAAAAATATTCTTTTAATGATAACAAATCAAAATTAAAAAAAAAAAACAAAATTGTTTAATTCCGAGCGATACGTAACCCTCCCATCTTTTGTGGAATTTTTGAACTTTAAACCTTACCGTGAAATAGACAAGAAATAATCATCAAAAATAAAAAAATTAAAATGTAATCAATCAACATTATTAATTTTTTATTTGTATTCTTAAAATATTTCTAGAAACGAGCTGGAGAATTTTTTTTCATATTGAATTTAATTTTTTTATATATGCGAACAAAGGCTATTTTTAAACATTTATAATTTCTTAATTAAGTATTCAAGCAGTTTTAATCAACAAAATTATTTTCAGTAAATTTATTTTTGAATTTTAAAGCGGTAACAGCATTTTGTCTCGCTTAGCTTTTCCATCTTTTGCTTTGTGAAGAATTTCAACAATTCGTTAAAATTTTACACATACATAAGTGTGTATTTTCCTAGAAAAATAATGAGATAGTTGTTGTATTAATATGTGCTTTAAATTTGAAAAATTTTTAAAAGTTACAGCTATGAACTATTCAGTTCACACTCCCTCTTTCATTTATAACTTTCCTTTTCCTTTAAAATGTACACGAGCTCAATATTATGTGCATATGAGTATTTAGCTGTTTCCATTACATTATTTTATTATCAAGACACAATTTTCAATTATTGCATCACTTTTTTACAAAATTGCAAAAAAAAATAAAATAGAAAAATAACATCGTAATTAATATTTATTTTAAACAATCTAGACGACACCATCTTTCAATATTAAAATTAAATTCTATTAATAAAATAATTATTCAATATCAAATAAGTATATGAATATTTATGCATACAGAAAATTAGACATATTAATAATAATGACCAACGAAACGGTAATTGATTACCCATCTGTCAATTTTAATCAATTAAGTATGTGCATATGTATACATATTTACGAAAAATAATATTTAAAGAAATAATAGCAGATTAATAAAGAGCGAGACAAGGAGAAAATAAAATATAGGCCTATATAAGATAATTTTTTATAAATGTAAATAAAAAAAAAATAAAAATACATAATTATGTTAAGAGCAAGTCAGCAACCTAATTCTGTCTCGAATTAAATTTCATTTAATAAAGCGCGGACAATAATAGCATCGTTATTGATCATATTACGCGATTAATAGAAGGGTGCGAAGTAGTGAAGAATCCTAATTTTATACTTATAACTTACATTTTGTTTTTGCTATTTAATTTACATATAATCTGACTTTAATAGTTTACTTAATGTTTGATTGCATTTTATATATATAGCTATATTTGGTCCTCTTATAACACGCTTCATGAGGAACATGTATTATAATTTTGGAAATTATAATATGATATGTTCCTTTTTTTATAGTCTCCCACTAAATTTTATCCCTATTATATGGGATCAAAAAACAAAAATGCAGAAAACATTTTAAGAAACGCCAAAATAGCAGGTATAGGACCTGGTGATGAACCTTAAAGATACAAAAAAAATCATATGAAAACGTTTAAATTCTAGAAGCAAAAGAAGTGCAACGTTCCATCTTTTTGAACATATCTTTTATTTTTAAGGTCTTGGTTTCGATATATCATAATATTCAGATATAGCAGACTCAGTTGATCAAAGAATCGACTCTACGAAATGCATTTATTTAGTATTCAGAATGTAAACCATTTCGCAGCTTTTATGATGTCAAAAAGAAATGTACTAAAAAGGAAATACTGAAAACTAAGTAAATTTTTTTACAATCATCGTTATCTAAAATCTAAATGAACCATATATTTTAAATTTTCGTTTATATGAGTAAGAAAAACATGTGATTGACGTGGGAGACATTCAGACTAGAACGCAGAAACATTGAAAAGCGATTAATTAATAATATTTTGTTTATAACGACTTTAAAATTTAATACATGTTCTTTTTATGTAAAAGACTTAGTGACCTGATAAAATTTGACCCCTATTCCACACGTTTACATAAAATACGTATACGTTTGTGTATGTATATTTTCTACATATATATTTAATACATTTCTTTATTTGATTTAGAAACTTATTCGTTCTTTTATATTTAAATAATACGAAAGTTGATAACCGAAAAAAGAAAAATACAAATATTTAAAATTTTACCATAAATTTTATTAAATTTAACCATAGCATTTTTTATTTTCTAATAAGTTTCTAATTGTTTCATACATCTTCATATATTGCAGATAATGCATTTAGTTCAAAGGAGTCTGATGCACTAGCACTAGCCTTAAAAACTTCAATAAAAGTAAATTCAACACTCTCAACATTACCACCGTTAATATTTCCTGATAAATCCAGTAATTTTACAATAATCCCACCAAATGAGGCGACAATTCGAAGATTGCAGCACATGGATTCGGTAAGTAAGAAATGGAAGTGTTGGTCAGTGAAAGTTGAAGAGTTTTTAAATTCAGTCTATGTATTTTTAAGTGTCAACATAATAATTTTAAATAACTCATGTCTGCATATTAGCAAGAGATGCCTCAACTGACATTCCATTATTAAAGTTTCAGATCAAAACTTTAAGAAAACCTTTTACTTAAATCTTAAAAAAAATGTCATTTACATATATGTACATTGATCAATGATAGGTTTGAATAAAGTTTTGAATTTTTGGAAGGTTGCTGATTAAGGAGGTATTCATATCGTTCTTTTTGAGGTATTCATATAGTTTGGCATTTTGTAATTTTCTTGAAAAACATTAGTAAATTTGTTCAGCAGTTGAAAGAGGAGCTTCTATGTTAGGTGAATTGCACATTTTCACCTTCTTTTGCGGTGTCATAAAAATGTAAATACATGCATATGTATGTAAATCTGTAAAAGTCTGTAGATACACTTATACTATATAAAAAAATTTTATGATGCTAATTCAAGCAAATATACTCAGTTAACGTGAATTTCTTGATTTGGAAAATGTAAATCGTAAATTCGTTTAAAATTCCGGTACTCGTCTGTTCAAGGTTGGTAAACTATTATAATGCATTATTATGAAAGCGCTCAAGATAGAAATGCGATGAAAGTCACGTGATCATTATCAGCTCAAATTATTCATTAATATTTTAATATTAATGGAGAATTTTATCTTGAACAGACCTATAGATATTATCATTCACAACATTTAAGTAGGTTCAAAACAATGATTATCCAATTACACAATATATGTACATAATTGAAGTTGTAATAAAACACTTAGATATTAAATAGCATAGCAACAGGCGAAAAACTAATAACTATTCAAACTGCTAAATATGTACATATATACACATATTCACATATGTACATATATACACATTCAAATGTTTCACAAACTTCTGTTCAAATAATTTTTATTTTTTCAACTTAAACTTTTTGACCCAATTATGGCCATCCACACTTATTTAATATTTAAATTTACAAAATTCTAATTTTAATCATTTTAAGAACGTAATATGATAGAGTAGTGATATGATACATAATTAAATTGGTTTCAATTACTTTGTTTTATCGCTATAAAAATAGCTAATGAAATTAAATTAATTTTGATTAAAAAATATCGTGACACTCACAATATTTCACTAAAAAATATATAAAAGCTTCTTTTCTTTAATTTTATTATCTAATAAAAACTCCTATTTCGATCAAATTTCATACAAGTTCTCGAAGAAATTATCATATTTTCAACTGTAATTGACAATGATCATGAAATTCAATATATCAAAAATTTAATAGACAAATTTATTGAGTTATTGTATAGGTAATGATATCATATTTGACCGACCTGCGGCTATATTAAATTTTTTGAGTACACGATAAATTATTATTTAAATAATATTAATGTTTGTTCAATTCAAAAAAAAAATTAACGAAATGTTCCATATTATTTGTTTTTTTGAATTTGCAAAATATAAAATATCATCATCCAGCTGAAATTCTACAAATGAGCCAATAATAAGTTAAGGTCTATTATGTAGTAAGTTAAAAAATGAATTAATGTACATATACATATATCGCATTGGTGACAGCATTATTACATTTAAAAAATTATATTAAGTTTCTCATGAAAATTATTTCAAACCTTTAATTTCAATGTATCAAGTAAAGAGGAAGACCAAGTACTTAATTTTATTTATACCAAGACCAAGGAAACTTAATTTTATTTATTCAAAAACCAATAAAATCCAATCAATAAGATTATATTATATTTATTAGATATATATAGATGTAGGTATGTAATCTCATTATGATAAGATAAATAAAATAAATACATGTAAAAAAATAAGCTTAACTCTTGTTTTACGGTAGTAAACAACTAAAATATGTAAAGTAAACAAAATAAAAAACGAGTTTAAATCATCTTATCAATAGCAAGCGATAAATTAAAAAAACACGGAATTTTCAAATAAAAATGACTCACAGGTAGCTGGAATACCTGAAAAATCAAATTATAAATTTTATAAACAATGTGTGCGCGTACTTATTTTCACGTAAATGTTATGTTAAAATACGTGAACATGAACGTTATTTTATAAATCTGAGCTTAATTTGAACACATACATATTTAAATACATAAATATATAAGTGTATATGTAAAAACTGTAAATAACTGCGAATGTTTACATTCAATATAAATGGTAGTTCCATTTTGAATATTAAATAAAATTTCAATTTGCATCATGTGTCTATTTCTAGCACTTTTCCAAAAAAATTTTGAAAAAAAGTGCTTATTAGTTTCACTCTGTCCGTCCGTCTGTCCGTATGTCTGTTTACAAAACTTCTACACCCTTGATTATAGAAACTTGAAATTTTATATGTACTCGTACATAGATCTTTACTAGAAACTAATTTTCGTAGAACATAATTTTTATCTATCTCCCTCCCTCTGAAAGTTATACCTCACCAAAACTCTTAAAATGCTATTTTTCAACTATTTATTGTAGTAGAACCATATGCATTTTTCAAATTTTGTAAACGCAGAAAAGCAGTGGGTTGTTTCTTCAATCACGGCATACTATATTTGAACTTAAAAAAACAAAATGGCCGTTAAAACTTACCGTTATATAAAATCAGTTTTTTTTTTAATTTTTGATGTCGTTTTTTCTTAAACCTCAGGTTGTAAAAGTCTGAAATTTTAACACCTTTTAGACATTAACAAATAGTTAATTTCGTTAGAAGAAAATTTGTTTCCACCTCCACCCCCGCTCAAGTTATCGCCGCTTGAAATTTATAAAATTTGAATTTTTGGCGCTTTATATTTTCGAAACCGCAAGCTTTTTCAAATTTCTATAATCGCAGAAAGGTAACGGTAAATTCTATGCTATTAAAAGATATAATTAATTTTCTCAATTCACACAATTAACCCTTAAAATCGAACACTATGCTAACCCCTCTTAAAATTAATTTTTGCTTTATTTCAAAAACTGCATAAACCGTTCATCCTAAATATATGCAATCCTCGAAATAGTTTCGTTTATGAATAAAAGTAATTTATTATAATAAAAAGAACATATAACAAGTAAAAAGGTTTCATTCGGTATAAACCGATTGAATTATACCCTGCACCTTTCGTTGTTGTATGGCAATTACTCGGACCTGTGAAACCATTCTATAGAAACTTCAAAATTTTTGTCTGACCCATAATTGGACACACAACTGCCAAGTTTCATGAATCTGGCATTATCATTTTTCCAAATATTTAGAATAAGCTTTTGGACTTGTATGGGAGCTACTCGAACCTGTCAAGCAATTCCACAAAAACTTTACAAATATATCTGACCTATAATTGGACACACGACTGCCAAGTTTCATGAATCGGACTTTATTATTTTTCCAAATATTTAAAATTACCATGTGACGACATCGCAGATTAAAGTAAATTTTACATGGCTAGGAATTGTCAAAAAACCAAATGTGATATACGTTCCTACACACATTTAATATATTTCTGACAATAATACAAAAGCAAAACACTAAACAGTACAGAATACAGTAAAGATTCTCCAATTTTCTTATAATTTCACAACAATTATGTTTAATGAATTGAAAGCGTTCTCGACCAAAGTTGTAATCATAAAATCGCTAACTTATTAATTTTAATTTTAACATTTATCTGTAATTCCTTTCAATATTAGGTATAATAAAGTTCCTCTTGAAATTTTTATATTAAATTAAAATTTTTTTTTGCAGCAAGACACTACATCTCGTCCAAAACCTGAAATACAAAAAGTTATTTCAAATAGACAAGGCATAGCCCTATTTAGAGTAAAAAATATGGATATAGATAACCTTCCAGAAGTTTTTCCATCAGATTTAGAGAATGATTTTAAAGAAGTCAAAGAACTTAAAGATGAAGTTGAAGAAATTCAAGAAGATGACTTTTCAGAAGAACAAAGCGGTTTTGAAGAACGATTCGGGTAAGAGAATTAAAACAAAGAACCCTATATAATATTTAGAAAGGTTTTTAACTAAACGCGCTAAAATTTAGAGTTTAAATATATTTCAACGCATATACATACATATAGATATTGTCTAAAACTTCATATTATTTACATTACGTATTTTTATTCTAATTTTAGAAATAGAAAAACTGGTATACAGGAAATTTTTAATGAAGATATTGAAGTTCATAATGTGAATTTTACCAATCACCATCTAACAATTATTCTAGCGACATTTTTGGGTCTGATTTGTTTAGCCGTATACATTGCCTTATTAACATGGAGACAATATTTAAAGTAAATATATGAATTTTAAATAAAAAACAACCCAAACTAATATCTAACTTATGTATAGCATGATTATACATTTAATTTATCATATACATAAGTACACATGTTTTAAAAAAATTCCTTTTACATTTTTATTAGGAAACGTTATGGAATGAGACAGTTATTAGTTACAGATGACGAGTTTTTACAAAATCACGATCAAAGATCATTTAATGTAAGTATTCGATTTGTTCTATTACTTTTAAGTGTTGACTTATAATTAAACAAAGTTAAATACATTAACATATGTGTATACAAGCATGCTTTCATATATAAAAACTTTAACATGTTCATGATAGCGAATAGGAATTATATAATATAAAAATTAATTATTTAATTTAAAATGTCGGAAATTTTATTTAATTGACAGTCATTAATATGTTTTTTTATAAATATAAATTCATAAATTTAATAAATTCATAAACATAACGTAATTAATTTAAGCTTGATTTAATAAAAAAAAAATTGTAGTCAATATACATAGTTGATCAATCACGGTGATATATGTATCTACGTATACATTTATGTATACATACATTTATCAATATGTGAACTTGCACTTAAATTTAAGTTAACTAGCTAGCTATTTGATTAAAGAATTTAATTTTTAATTTTTCTCATTTTAGGTATAACATATCAGGCGAAACAATAGCAAAAAAATTTATGTATTTTAATTAAGGAAAATAAATTAATAGAACTCATCAAAAGATTCAGCCATGTGCTAGAAGCATTTGCATTTAAGTGCCATCTATATGCGATATTTATTGCAGCACAATATTAATTTCAAAAAATTAGTGTAGTCTACAAGGGATGTTATTTAAATATGCTCAAATATTTTCAAAAAATGAATTAGATAAATTATAAGAATTAAAATAGCTTTGAAAGGATGATTAAGGAATTTAATCGACTGTTTGTCAACGGCATATTTTCAAATAATTCAATAGTTAGGAAATTTTTTCTATAATTTGTCTACATTAATTTTAACTTTTCTTTTAAAGCTGTACATATATATACGTAATACAATTCGAAGAAAAGCGTCTTAATATAAAACTTTCAAATATGAACTTGAAGTTAGTTTCAATATTTTATTGTGCTATTTTATTGTGTATTTGTGATTCGAGATTTGAAGAACAAATTTAAAATATTAAGTTTTAATTACAACTTTATATAGCAGAATTTGATTTTAAATGAAATTTTTAATTTATTTTATAAAAAAAAATCAATTGTTAAATCGTAATAAATATTTCAAAAACTGTAAAATACCTTTGAAGAGATTTAAGCCCACATTTCATGAATTTTTTTAAGTTGTACTGATTTAAGGAAATCAAACGTTAAATATTATTGCATTAAAATTTTGCGCCATTTTGAATTTGAAATAGTGTAATGTGAAATGAACTTAAATTTATTATATTTAATAACAAAAAGAAGAAACAGCAGCATTAAAGGAAATTATAGAATACTAAATGTGAGGCGGCTCAATAGTATAAAAAATATTAAACACAGCTGCTAAATTTAATCTTTAAATTTTAATCTTATAAGGACTATAAAGTTATAAAAGGCGCATTTCGCTTATATTAAAATTTTTATTAATTTTTTTTTCCTTTCTTTAAATGTACTTTGTACACATACATATATACATATATAAAAACGAAAAATCAGTTTTTTTGTAAATGAGTTTTCTATTGTGTAAAATTAAAAACTAATTAAAATAAAATAATTTTAGCACATGACTGTGATATTCCTATATGAAAATAAATTTGTTAAGAAATTTAAAATGTTTAAAACATTTTAAAATTAGCTAAAAATTTATTTTTAAGGGAAAACAAGAAAATACTGACCATATTTTATATTTAGGTTAATTAAAACTAAATTATTAATAAAAATGAAAATTATAGTTAATTTTTAATAAATATAGAAAACAAATTTTAATGCGTTAGGCAATCGAAGAATGTACATAGGTATGTACATATACTTCATCACTTGAATTTATGTATGTAAATTAAAAATGTTTCATTTTACCTAATGAAAATAAAAACTAAGGAAAAATTTAATTATACAAATGACGTAATAACTATATAAATGCGCGTTTAGAACGCAAAATTATTTTTTTGTAAAAAATTTTAAAACAATATTTTTAAGCATAATTACTTTTTATAAAGAAAATTATAATAAACTTAGTTTTTCATTCATAATTATTTTTAAAATATAAAGTGGTGAAAAAGACACATAATATATAAGTAAATGCTTATTTAGGAATTTAAAAAACGTACACATTTTATTAATACATTACACTGTATTGTAATTGGAACCTTTGTTTTCAATCATAAAAAAGATACTCACTTCTAATTTACTTTTGAAAACATTAAACTTTATATTTTTAGTTGAATATTATTGTTGTTTCAAATATTTGAATATAAAATATAGATTTTCTGATATGTATACGATATGGATTTAACTTAAGTCAATTTATTCGTAAAAAAATTAATAATTTAAGTTATTTTATATAAATTAGGAGTAAGTTTTCAAATAAATGAAAATTGTTTTGATATTTGTAAAATCTAGTGCAGTTTTTTTAATGCAGATGGTTAAAATTTTTTGTCAACAAATGCCATTTATTTTCATTTTTGTTTTTCCCGCATAAAAATTATCAAAATCGGCATACACGCAACATAGTTGCTTTACCCAAGCATTTAAATTGTGCACAAAAAAAATTATTTGTTTTCATACTCAATTTGTTAAATAATGCCTTTAGAAAAAAAAAACAGATTTAGAAGGCGGAAATAATAAGAATTTATATTTCAAATATTAAGTACAACCAAAGACATTAAAAATACTATATAAAAAATACCATAAGCAAGGCGGAATTAAGTGTTAAGATAAGACTCTTTATTTAAAAATAATAAGCTTCGTTTCATATAAGCGTTCTTTTTTTGTGCAAAATTTATTATTTTCTTTTTTCGCTATTGGACTCCTGTCTTAATTTATTTATTTCAAACATTTTACTTAAAAGTTTATCTCAATTTATACTTTTTTTTGTACACGATGTTTAAAATACCAAACAAAACAAGCTTTTTCTATTTTTCATCAATTTTCAAATACATACATATGTACATATTATGTAATATAATAAAAGATCAAATAATGTCTTTATATCTAACAAGTCCCAATGCTCAGAGAGAAACTTGAAAGCACGACCTTATTTTATATGGCCTTTTTTTAAATCGAAGTGGCTATTTTTTGAGAAGAAATATTAAAATAAATTCACACTTATTATAAAGCAGGTAAAATTTAGAACATATATTTGAAAAATCAAAAAAATATATTAATATTTTCATTGATAATTTTTTTAAAATTTTAAAAAAGCGGAAAAACAACAACCACAACCTTCGCCTTCAACGTTTTATATGTTACTGAAAGCATTTCATTATTTTTAAGTGAACAGCTTTTTTTTCTCATAGGGTAAGTTAACTCAAGATATGGGAAGTACCTGTGGTGTCAAGTTGAAAATATAATTAATGAAAGATAATTATTAAAATATTGATATAAATACATAGTAAAGAAAAAATTTGAAGAGGGAATTAGAAAATAATATCTAAAATACAATCAAATATTAATTGTTAAATACAAATTTTATATAAACCTCAAAATTTTACCTCTATTTTTATTTGAAAAAATATTAAAAACTTACTATCATTTATATCAATTACCTAAGAAAAAAAAATATTTAAAATGTTTGGAAAAAACAATCATATATTTTTATGACCGGATTTGAATATTTTTCTATTTTTGAAATAAATGGTTTTTTACCAAATGACTCAAAAATTCCGACTGTAAAATAACAGGTATTTTAAAATTTTTGTTCAGGTATTTTAAAATTCTTTCCGTTTAGAATTAAGATGGGTCATACATACACATGCAGGGACATTTTATAAATAGATTGCTCTTGTTTACCTGCTAATAAAATATGAAAAAAGAGCACAGCAAAATTTTTGAAGCACTCAATATAACATGTTTGAAATAGTTTTAAAATAATTATTTAAAAAAAAATTTATTGGAAGTAGGTACATACATATTTATTTTTAATAACTTAAAAACTAACTGAAATTATTTGAAACAATTTTATAAATAACGTATAAATAACCGAAATGAGATAATTCAAATTGTTGAAATGTGTCAACCTATTACTTTTAATAACATTTTTGTTAGACACTACTCAACTTGCCTTATTGGGAAATACAAAATGTGCATGAAAAATCATACATCCTTTCTCATTAACATTTGAAACCATACTGAAATATGAATTTGAAATTTTTTATCATTTTTTCTTTCCTCCTACCTTTCTTTTTTTTTTCGTGCAATAGAATTTAAATGGGAAGCTTTTTAAAAAATGTGTATAATATCCTGAGATTTTTTAAAATATTAATCTCTTACGTAAAAAAAAAGAAAAAAATAATAAAAAATATGACACGATCAGTGGCATTTAAAGAAAAAACCAACAACGAGGCCAAAAATTCGTAATATTTCGTAAAAAAAATTGAGTATTTGGGCTTGTTAGATATAAAGGCATTATATCAAATATTTGTCCCATAGCTGTAAAATTTACTACGACTTTTTTACTACTAGATATAATATGTCCAATCGAACAAAATGTTTCCTAGCTATCTTCCTACCGAAAACAGATTTAGCATTTTCTATTGCATTTTGCTATCTATATAGTTTTTTTGAATAGCGCAGAAAAGGAACTGTTCGGCGGATAATCTAACCGAGCTTTTCTCAACGTTGATATGGCAGTTTGTTTCTAGGCGCAACATTCAACAACTTGAAAAATAGAAATTGGAATATTTTTTATCCTGTTATGGAAAAACCTTAACTTATGAAAATATGAAAATAGCACGAAAATTAATAAGTTGTGCAGAAAAGCGGTAGATACACATTTTATACGATACGAATACAATATGTATAGAATTGAGATTTGTGAATACATATTTTTTTCGTTTCCTCTTTTTCTTTTTCTTCATGTTATTTTTTCGATTTTTATTTGTATGTTACTTCTACTGTAAGATCTTACTTAGGCTACAATTTAAGATTAATATTTTAACATTTTATCATATCGAAATCCAACACATATTTTCAAAGTAAAGGCCATATTAAAAGAATAAATTACGCCCCTGTTATGGAAAAAGCCTATGTGAAGAAAGAGACAACTATAACATGTTGAGCAAAGTTAAATTGCAATTTGCATTGCAAATTATCTACATGTTTACAAAAGTTTATCAACATTTGATACAGTTAATGTTAAAAAAATAATGCTACACCAATTGTCTAATTGCCATCTTAGTTATTGACAGTGTTTCATTTCATCATACTCAGAGTTTAGTTTAGTTGTGTTTTGACATTTTAAATTTATAGAAGTGAATTTTGGTTTCTCGGATATTAATAAAATAAAATTCAAGAATTTATTTGTTTCCTGAAATAACCGTGCTGAATATTGATATACTATAATTGATAATAATAAAATACGTTAAATAATTTCCAATATAAAAAAAAATTTATTTTATGTATATATAGATAGTTGCATAGTTATATAATATATGTATGTATATGTACCTATATAAATTTATAGAGAAGCCTGTGATAAGAATAATTTTTACAAGATTTTTATGGGATTTAAAATGAAAAATTCAATATAATTTGTGTTATCAAATTAATAAAAATTAATTAACAAAGCTTTAATAAGTTAAATTCTTGTTTAAAAACACCGAAGAAATATCAAAACAGAAATATCCAAAAATAAAGCTTTAATAGTGCTTCCTAGATATATAAGTTAAAAAAAAAATAAAATTCCTTGCAATACTGAGATGAAAAAAGACTAAAAAATATATTTAAAATTTTTTCAAAAACACGTGTCGCATTTTTCTAAATAAAATTTTTTAAAGAAAAAACATTTAGTTTATACACGATAAAAAGGAAAGCAAGCAATAATGACTTCAACACACTGGGAGGATTTCTATGCCAATCATTTACCTCCAGCTGATTTTGAGGATAATAGAAGTTTATTGAAGGAATTTTGTGACAGACATAATAAGCTTAATAATAGAGTGGCGCTAGTTACAGTATGTAATTTAAATAGAATTTGATTAATATAAATTAAATTTGATCAATGAACGAAAAATTATTTAATTTCTCTAAAAACTGAAATATTTTTAAACATCACTTACATTTTAGGTACATATGTACACATATACCTAAAAATCTTTTGTGGGAAGTGTTTACCTACTTTATAAGAAAACATTTTTGTGAGAAATGTTAGGTTCTTTTAACTTGATGAAAGGTGTTGCATTCTCTCAATCAGCCTTATATAAAATTTTTCAAAAAAACCATCGTCTTCTTTCCTTTTCTTTATAAATTGCTTGCAAAATAAGAATAATTAATCCATGCTTTTGGCTCTAAAGCTCTGCTTCCAGTTAAATTCAAGTTTGGTTAGATAAGTTTGTGGTAACTTAAGGCAGACGTTATATTCCCTTTAGAGTATTTCTACTTCTATATTGTACCCCGTATATAATACAAAAAGTGTACTTATTTTGCTTATTGCTTTGAGGAAAAATTTTATGACTTTTGGTAAAAAAAAACAATTTTTTTTAATAAAAAAAATTGACTTGAACCACAATCCTTGAAATACCTAGGCCTAATGTGCCAACCACTTATTTTTTCTTTTCAACTCCAAAAAAAGGTAGGTATCACGATCCATTTACCTATACATATATGCATTTAAATTTTTTTTTTTTGTTTTAATATTTTAAAAATTGGTGAGAAAGAACGTCTCCTTAATCCCATATTCTAAATTCATTTTAAGTACATTTATTTAAGTACTTATAAATATGTATTTGTTCCTAAATACATATGTATGTACATATTTAAATAATATGTCATGACCTTTTTAACGAGTCTTTTAAACTAAGTCTCTTCAGTCTACGGTTAAACTCGAAAATACATATAAATATATACAGATAATCCTTATAATGATAAGGATAATCTCTATTCCAATATTTGGGAAATAATTTTTTGTGAATTTTGTTTTCAAATCTATAATTCAAAAACGTATTCTTTACTAAGAACTATTTCCTTATTTTTTTTTTCATCCAAATGTTTATAGTCTGGAGGTACAACAGTTCCTTTAGAACATAATACAGTTAGATTTGTAGATAATTTTAGCGCAGGTACTAGAGGATCCTCGTCAGCTGAATATTTTTTAGATCATGATTATGCTGTAATATTCATGCATCGTGTTAAATCATTAGAGCCCTTTACACGACATTTTAATGGACAACAATTTTTTGACATGTTGGAATTTCAAGATAATTCAGAAGGTACAACAAGTATTATTGTCAAACCTGATTCATTTGATGTATTAGCACCAATTTTATTAAAATACAAAAATGCTCAAGAAAATCAAAAAATTTTATATATTAGCTTTACAAGTGTTGTTGATTATATGTGGTTACTACGTGCAGCGTGTGAATGTTTAGCATCATTCGATAATAGAGCTTTATTATATTTAGCAGCGGCGGTTTCGGATTTTTATATTCCACAAGACAAAATGGTAAGTAACAAATTATAGTTTTTTTTTGCGTAAACAAAAATTGTAATTCTTAAGTAGTAAGAAATTACTTTTTTAAAACTACATATAAGGCTTAAAAAAATGTGTATAAATCCTGTATTTAATGAACGATTCATAACCAATCTCATTCATAATGAACGATTCATAACCATAAAAAAGAATATTTTCTACCAAAAAAAAAAACAGAAATATAAAAAGAATGTTTTTTTTTTGTATTTTTCCATTTTAATACCGTCTTAGGTATTAAACTAAACGAGGTTTATTGGATTAAATAAGAATTAAGAGATTATGTAGAGTGCATTCATGTGTAACTAAATGTTAAAATTGTTTTTCCATCAAAAATTTTACATATTACAAGCTATTTTGCTATTACCATTATATTTTACAAACTCTATAATTTGCGTTTGTTAGTACTAGATAATATTTCTATAAAATTTAAACAAGATTAGGTAAAATGATTATAACTAAATAATCGAGGAAGAGCAATTTAATTCTCTTAACAAGTATTTAGGCAAATGCATTCATATTACTTTATCGTTCATTAATACGAGTGCTATCTAAAAGTCTAGATGACTTAAAAGCATTTTTCTTCCGAGAAGACGTAGAAGTTTTAAAATTGAAGGTTGACATATAGTTTTTCAAATTTGCAAAATAAAAAATTTGCTCAACATAATTTTCATATAACTTATACATACATAAAATATAACTTATAATGATCACTAATTCTTGAATGTTCTAAATGTTAAGTCTAAGTACTTATGATCATCCCTTCATTTCTTAACAAACATTAGTTTCATTTTTAACACTATCATTTATTTTTAAAGGTCATAAATTACTTAATATGTTGGTGATTTTATTAGCAATCATTATGATGCTCAACATCAAAGATTTCCTCTGTTATGCCTTTTTGATAAATTAAACTAAACATAGTTTTTTAAAATACCTAATATTATGAGTTTAATACTTGAGTTTATTAAAATACTTAAATAATGAATTAATAAAGTAAAATACAAAATTATTAATCGGTTTTTTGTTTAAATTTTAGCCAACACATAAAATACAGTCTGGTCAAGGGGCACCTACAATATCGTTACAATTAGTTCCAAAAATGTTAGCTCCATTAGCCAGCTTATGGGTGCCGCACGCATTTGTAGTATCATTTAAATTAGAAACAGATGAAAATTTACTCATTGCCAAATCTCGAGAGAGTTTAACAAAATATAAACATAAGGTAAGAAAATTTTAAATGTTTAAATGTTTTTTAATTTAATTTTTATGCAAGTACTTAAGAATTGTGTTTCGTGCATGCACATTAATTAAAAAATATTCAAATATTTATATTTCAAAAGATATAAATCTTAAAATTCATTATAAAACAAGATAGGAATATAAATAAAATATTGATTTTACGATGCAGTTTTTTTGTTTTTTCATTATACTTTGAGTTAAATCTATTTTAAATTATTTTTGATTACTGTGCAAACAGTAAATTACTCGTTTAAATCAACGTACTTATTTATTTATATTATTCTGATTGAAAATGTCTTGTACAACTAAGAAATTTTGTTTTTACGAAATATTCCAATTAGAATACAATTAGAATTTATAATCAAAGATTTAAATTAAGTTTTGAATTTTTCTTAAATTCAAAAGCAATTTTAAAAAAACACTTTTATTGTTTTGTATTAACATAAATTGTATTAAAAAACAATATTAATATAAAAATTATTGTTTACAACTATATTATGTACCCATACTTGCAAATTTTCATTACTTTATCTTTTTTTACAGTTAGTAATAGCAAATATTTTGCAAACACGTAAGAATCGTGTTGTATTTGTAACACCAACAACTTCATATGAGGTGCACTTAACAAGGGAACAAGCCTTATCAGGACTTGAAATCGAAGAACCGATAGTTGCAGATGTTGTAAGTATTTTTGAATAGAATTTAAATGTTTTACTCCAAAATTTTGTCATTTTTATTCATAATTTTCAAGTGGTTTATGTCAACTGTGGACTAACAATATTCTGTCAAAGTTGAAAATTCTTTACATAAGTAACTTTAAAAATCAGTTGCGTATAAAGTTCTTTTATTTACATGCAGTTCTTATTTCCATTAACAAAATGCGAAATGCACTTTTCCGTATCATTATTTAATTATAACGTGATCTGTTTACTGTTTCCGCTTTAACTACCCCCATCGTAAAAGAGGAAATGGAGGTAGCTCAAGCGGAAACAGCTTCTCTATCGTACTAAAAGACGCAATGCTGCTGAAACTAAGGCAAATTCCAGCCACAAATTACCATACGTAAAAAAAATTTTTTTAATTTTTTCGTTATTCAGAACAAATTTTCAGTTAACAATAATTTTTAAAAAGTAAACTTTTAATTAGTCCTATGTGCATATAATAGACTAGTTCGGTACTTTTTATCAAAGTCATTTTAATTAAAAATTTGATAAAATCTTTAGTTCAGTAATTGGTAAAAAAGAGAAAGGTTTCTAAATCAAATAATTCAAGATAAAATTTGATTGTATTTTTGTTTTTGAAATTCCTTAAACTAAACGCAAATATTTTTGTACAAGATATGTAGATAAATCAATGAATACTATGTACATAGCTTTATTTTGTGCTTGTTTAAATTTAATTTTCAATTTCCCTTTCATCATTTTAAATTAGGAAGAGCTTTAAAATATTTTGCTTTTTATTTCAAATTCTTCTGAAATTTCAACAAAGAGGAATCCTTTTCCTCCAAAAAATTTCTACTAAAATATTTATAATATAATACAGATTTCGCAACCTTCATGTAAATATATATTATACTTAAAATATTGAATATACCTATGTATAACGTGTTACAGTTAAACGAAAATATGTACCTAAAAACTGAAAAAGTAATAATTTTAGTTCTGTTATAGCAAAAAAAAATCTTTTTAGTCTTTAAAAACAAATCTTTTGCTCAACTTTAAAGAGTTTTTCATTTTCATATCTATTTTTTATTAATTTTTTTCTGAATTATAAATGTAGGTCCGGAAACATGAAGAATTCATAGAATCATCACAATTAAATCGTCAATGACCGTCAATGCGGAGTAGACAACGCAATAATAAACATTGTGTTGATTGTCGCGTGACAACACCACATTTTTGTCGATTACTTAATCCAGGTCCTGGGGCAGGACGAAAATACTAAGTTATACGCATATAAAAATTGTATATATACATTTCTATATTTGTACATTCTCTTAAATATTAAAAAAAATCATATACATACATTTATAATAAGAGACATAAACATAGAAAATAAAAAAAAAGTGTAACCTTAGCTGCTATACCCATAAATATTATATTTGACAACAAAATTAAGGTGTACATGTAAGGGGTTCAGGGCTTTTGAATAACTTATGTGAACTTAACATAAAGTTAAAAGAAGAAAAAGAAAATTTTGGAAAAACAAAAGCAAATTAACCAAAAAGCTGAACAAAAAAAAAAATAAAGGATGAAAATAAAATTAAGTAAAAACTTAAATAAAAAATGCAAACGTATTTGATAATATGAAATTTTACACGTTATTTTATGAGGGCCTGTAATGAGTCGAGAATGTAACACTTTACATATATGTATTTATGTGTTTGTTTATTTTAAGCGTACAAAGTTTCTTGGCATAGAGTTTTTTTTTAAATTTAACAAAAATAGCTGACTCTGAACCGGTTATTTACTTTATACAAATAAACAGAATTTCCTAAATTAATATTGAATTTTTACTTTACTATGTTGCTGTTTCTTTCGTGCTACAATTTCTTGTAAAGCTATCAAATTATTAAAACGACCTTATAAAACTTTTTTTATGAAATTTCTTTACGTGGCCCTTCATTAATGAAGTGATCTAAATCTTAAAAATTGAATTGGTATGTGTTATGTAAGATATACATTTTCATGCAAGTATATATTAAAGTAAATCAGCGCATCTTTTTGAAGAAATGATTCAGGTTTTTGATTGTATTGTTTCAAGCGCATTTTTAAATTTATATGTTACTCATTACTTTGTTTTGCCCATGTGGCAATTAAATCAATTTCAATAGTCTGATTTCTAACAGTGTTAATTGTTATTTTTATTAATAGTTCGGAAAAAATATTTGTTAAATAAAAAAAGTAAATATTATATTATAATTATGTATGTACTAAATGTATTTTGGTGCATGAAAATGAATCCACAATGAATTTTTCAAGTTGTATTGATTTTAAAATTACACATAGGTATAATTTCAAATGTATGTATAAGTTGTTAAAATAAATAAAAATTATATTTTAAATGGTTTTAATTAGTTCAAATGGTTTATATAATAGGTATTTTGTTGTTTTTTTTTTAATTTTTTAAATATATTGGAATTTATGCCTCGGAGTTTAACTTAGTTTCACTTTAAAAAGAAGGCAAAGTTGTTAAAATTTGTTTCTTATCTTACAAGTTTTCTTATTTAATTTGAATTAAATCAGTAATTTTCTTGAGAAATAGACGAAGGTTATATAGACTTATGATCATAAGAATATGAAAGAACTTAGTTCTTTTTATGTAATTAATTAAGTAACTGTTAAATAACTATACACATAAACATTATCATGCATGTTACAAAATTAAAATATGTATCTGGATATGTACATTTATACATATGGCATATATGATAGAAAAAACTAAAAACTTTAGGATTAACTTGAAATTAAAGTTTTTAAGTACTTACGTTTGTTCAATATGTATATTTTATTATAAAATTATAGAATTTGTGAAACCCATTACAAGTTCATTAGTTACTACAAATTTGAAACAGTGTTTTATATTATATACATCATAATATCGGGCCTTAAATTAATTGAGTAGATATTATTTTCCTTGAAATAATAAAGAAGAAAAGCATAATCTATATTAATAAAAGTATTGGACCTTAAACCCAATGAAAGATTGATTTTATCAACCTCTCAATTAACTATATGTATTTTTATATTTGTTTATATATTTATATGTAGGATTGATATTGTTATAAACTATATATATATATATATATATATATATATATATACACATATTTAACATATATTTAACATATATATATATATATATATATATATATATATATATGTGTGTAATTATCTAGTGAACTCGTCGTTATGTAATATGAAATTATGATAAAGCTAAATGAAATATTATATTCGGTACAAACGACATTTTGCTTCTAATAAAACCAATATTCTAATATAATGGTTATCCAATATAATTTATGAATAGAAGTTCAAGTAATTCCTGAACATATCAAAAATTCAAACGTTACATTTGAAAATTGGAATAATTGAATAAATAGTTGCTTAAATGAAGCAAAATTTTATCATTTCTGCAAATGTACTTACGTATATCTGCAAGTATATAAAGCCCAAGTATCAGCAAGTATACCAAGCCCAGGCGTCTACCAAAATGGTAAATAAAAAAAAAAGATGCTTGCAAATGTTAAACGTAAAACTTTATACAAATCTCATTTAGACTTTATTTAGACTTAAAAATTTATTCAACAGAAATCTGTCGAGTAGATTTTAGTTGAAATAATTAACTTTTTTTTCAATTTGTTATTGCCTTATGTAAGTGGCATGTAAAAAACTAATTTTGATGTAATTAGCAACTATTAGATTAAATATAAATTAGGTTTAATTTATATCTGAAATATAGTTCTTAAAATAATTATATTAATTAAACTTGGGCTGATCCTAAAATAGAATTAGAAAATAATTATATTCAGTTTCAACCGTTTAGATTTCTACGCAGTTACTTTGAAGTTAAATTTTTATAAAGAATAACTTTTCAAAAACAAATGGTTATAAAGGACAAAAATATGATTATTTTTTTTAAATAAAAAATAAAATGTTTTATAGCAATATCATCACAACAATTTTTTATCAAGTTGTAAGAGTTTTAGTTTTTATATTTAAGTGAAGCTCAACACCTATTAAGAGCCTAAATTTAAAATACATATCTAATTAATTTTGATTTAGGTAACTTTTTATTAAGATTGATAATAAAAAAAATTAATTTTACAAAATTCAACTTTTTTATTATACATATATGTATAATATAAATATATGTATTTTTTTAAGTTTTTGAATCTTATCAATCCTAAATAAAGTTTCGAAACATGCTAATAAATTTAGCAAATTTAGTAAAAATTAACTTATGACCTTTTAATAAATTTGGACCAAAAACCATAAAAAAATAAATTTCAAAACAATTTAATTAAATATATATACACAAACATATGTAGGAAAATAAAAAAGAAAATTCAAAAAATTTTACATTAAATTTAAAAAAATTTTATACTTAATCCAAATTTACTTCTAAATTATGTAATTCATTATGCAAATTCCAAATATTTTTTTAAGCAAATAAAATGCAAGGGTTACTGCAAAGAAAAAAATTTCCAAATTAAAAATTAAGAATTAAATAAAAAATATTAATTATTTAAATATTTTTTTTTTTAAACATCTCGCCGTCCGACACATTTTTGATAGTTAAAAAATAACAAATAAGTACACAAAAAATTCCACTTTAATTAGATTTTGAAAATTTTATTAAAAATCTATGAACATAATGAGATACATAATTTTTTTCTAAATTTGGATTCTTTATTTCATAAAGATACATATTCAAAAAATAAAATTATGTACATATTGATTTTCACAAATATTGTAATAAATTTTAATAAATATCATAGTCAATATACCAGAAATTAAATATTTCTCTTAGATTTAAGGGGGAAATGGTAATATGAAACAGTAATAAAAGAAATATGATATCAAAAGAACATTTTTGTTTATATTTATTTTTGTCCATCTCCTTGCTTGAACTGAAGCCTGTCTACCATTAAATAAATATTTATAGCGAAATATTATGTTTTTTTAATTGTACCTAAATTTTAATGATGTTTAAGACGAAAGGTTTGATTTATTTAAAATAGAAGAGTTTGAACTTTGAATCGACTAATATACATTATGTTTAATGCTCTAAAATATAATGTAATGATGCTATAATGAAATATATGTACATATATGTATATGCATATGAACATATTAATATGGTTATTATTTACAATATTGTAGCACAGCAAGTTCGACACCCAAACGTTCAATAAAGACGTATGTATTACAATATTTTATTTTTGAACATTCATGTTTTATCCCAAAATTTTAAAATTTATTTTAGAACTTTTTGGTTACTATAGTTTTAATTTAAGTGTAATTTATAGTTTTAATTTATATGATAAAAGTTACAGTGTAGCTTGTTGTCAAAAATTTTTTAACATTTGCTTTGTTAATTTAAAATAATAGAAGGTTTTTAAATTGGAAGTATATCAGCGTTCAATAATTTAATTATCATAAGAACAATGTGAATGGCGCAAAAATTAATAAATTACTATTTACGATAAATTTCAAATAAAACAAGTTATAATTTTTATAAAAACAAAGAATTAATTTTACTTTGATGATTAATTCGAGCAAATAATAATTATAAAAAATTTTATTTTTAATTTTATGTATGTACATAATTTGTATAAATTATAAATATTAAATATAAATTTGTTGAAACATTCATTTCTAATTTTACGATACTTTGTTCATTCACCATTTTCTCTTCACATAATATTGTCATTTTTTAATGTTAAAAAAATATATATATGTATGTATATGCACTTTTATTATAAGAATTGACAATAAAAAATCAATTATTTTATGACAATATGAACAATAATTTAAAATAATTGATATGTTAATTTATTAAAAATATTATTTTCGAAAATAAGTTCTCAAATATAAAAATAATTTATTATTATATAAAAAACAGCAGAATTCCGATTATTCTCCTTGGGTACATCAAACATGCTTGGTCTAAGATTTCATATGTACATATATCATTTTACCCTTCTCTATATGAAAATTAAATTTTTCTTAGTTTTAAAATCAAAATTTATTTTTCATTTCTATGAAAACCTTTTAAAACATTTCGGAGTAAAATCTGATTTGTTCTACCAAATTGTATTGCTGGACTAAATCACTGGCATAATTAAAATTCTTTCGCTGTTTTGTTTTTTATTCCATAAAATATTATTTCTATAATATAAAATAAAGAATATTGGCACAAGCTTTTAGCTATAAAAAGAAGTTTTGAATAAAAAGTTAGTATTCGAGAAAACAAACAAAAATTAGGGTTTATTTTAGAAAATCCTTTTTGTCACGTTATTTTACTTAAAGCACGTCAACTAATATTTATAAAATTAGCCGATCTAAATTTTCTATGATTAATTTGATTAACATTCTTTCTTTAATTTGGATCTTCAGCAGACTTTAAGCTTGATACCAATTTTGCAGCTTCGTTCATAATTTTTGAATTTGATCTAACTAAAAACATTAAATGGCATTCATCATAAACAGTAAGTTCAACTCTAGTTCGAACAAGTCCATGTAAAACTGTTGCACGCTCTAGATCAAGCCATCGTTGTAAAGCTGATTCCCGTTCCTTTATCGAACCAGTTAATGCAACGTCCGAAGGTCCCCATAAAACGAATTCCAAAAGTGCCTTTGCTTTAGATAGTGATTCTGATCTTTCCTGCAAAAGTATTTTTGACAGAATTGCTGAAAGTTTTGTTTGTGGAAGCATATCATTTAATGCTATGTGAGCGCATTTACATAATGGTCCCAGTAATTCATCTTCGTCAGGATTTAAACTAAAAACGTAAAAAATTTTATTCATTAAATGATTTATATATGTATGTACATATATAATTTTAACTCAAAAATTAAAAGCTTTACCCGTGTAAAACACATAACCTAGCTTGTGCATCTTTATTTTCAATTTCTTTACAAAGTATAACGTTTGATAAACTAAGTGGCATTTCCTCGATAGCTTTTGCTTGTAAATTTTTTAAACCATTCACTAATTGTAACATAATAAATCCAACTTCACGACACATTACATCATCAAAGCTTGGCATACCAGGTAAATTTATAATATCGTCTGACGATGGTTTTTCTTGGGTTTCTTCATTCAAAGTTGTTAAGTTTTGTACAGAATAAACGTTTCGTAAACCAGATGAATTAAGAATTGATTTCTCATTAGTTTGTTGATTTGTTATTGATAAATTAGGTATAGAGCCACGAAAATTTGTCATATGTTTGTCAACGAGTTGAGATTTATTCTTTAATATTGCACCAATTGATTGTAATGTATCCAATTGCATTCGCGGTAAAACGGATATTGTTGCCTGCATCATACGAACCTCAGTACTGGGCATTAAGGGTAAATGATAGCTTGGTACTAAATCGCAAAACTCTGTGATTGGATTAAGGACATCACTTATACCGCCGGAAAGTTGATTTAGTTCTCCACTAACACCAGATATTTGATTGCAATCAGCCGAAAGAGCTAACGTTACTGGTGATGTATTCCATACAGCAGAATGAAAGGCACGTTTACCAACAACAAATGCTTGACCACCTTCAAGAACAGTGAAATCATCGAAGCGTAAATTGATAGCATTTGCCAAAGGCCGTAAAGGTACAGGTATTGATGGTGTCTGTTGAAGCTGAAAATATGTAAGGGAAAATGATGTTGTAAATGTAACACTACTTTTTCCAATATTTAAACCAGTTTCGATAACTAATTATTTATTGATAAGGTACCTGTTCAAGAACTTGAGCTAACGCTTCATGATTGGCAACAACAACTGCACTATAGTTATCCTCAATATTTTTATGTACAACACTACGTCCTTTTCGCATTCTTAATCTGTTTGTTGTTTTAACTCTGGATTTTCCGACCTTAAAATGAAGTAGATACAGGAAATTACAAAGTACTTTATGATTAATTGCGTCATCACATATTTCATGTTCGCAAAGAGTTTCTAACTTATTGTGGATTAGAGCCAATCTTTTATTTCAATTTTGAAAATTTTAAAAATTATAAAATGCTTACATTGGGAACGCCCCATATAGTATCATGCAGGTCAACAGCAACATCAGCACCAGCTTCACTTCCACCATAAAAACTATATGGAGAATAGATATCAGATTCACCCATTTCACTTCCACAGTAAGAGGCTGATATAACTCTTGGAATGTTTGCTAAAATAAGAAGGTAAAAATAGATTTATGTAAAATTTTTAAAGGATAAAATTCAAGAAAAAATTTTAACTAAATAAAAATCAAAACATTAACTTTTTTTATAATTATTTCGCTAAATTATATCAATGACTTAAAATTATTTTTGATAGAACTTTCACCTAAACTGGCATTAAATCCATTTGTATATTGCCTATTTCCACCATAAAATGATGATGATGATGATGTTAGCCCTCCAACTCCATATTCGCTGCGTGTCGTTAGACTTTGTCCCGAAATTGATTGCGCATCTTGTATAAAACTATTTGAACGACTTTGATATAAATGCTGATGATTGCTACGAGTGGAATTCATCATCAATTCGTAACTTTTTCTCATATCGATTATCATGTCAGTTGTACTTTTCATAGTATCGTGATGTTGCTTATCAGATTGCTGTTGATTTTCTGTTTGATTCGGTTGCTCTGAATTTTGTGTTTCGTTAAATAATAAATTTGTTGTGCTTGATGTTAGGGTTGTATTACAGTTACGTGTGGGTGTTGGTGGTGGTATAACTTTATTGTTATTCGATACATCACACATCGATTCATAATCTCTTTTATCTTTTAAATAACTGTCAATTGTGTTACTGATTTTGCGTACAGAATCCTTAAGTCCATCACTTAGTTTTACTTTAACATTATCCGACAAACCTACTACATTACTACTGCAAACATTTCCACTTTTTTCGAATATCTCCAATTTACTTGCTACAGATTTTCCATTGAAAAATGTTGCATTATTCAATGTAGTCGTAAGAGTGGAATTGTTACTATTATAATTTTGATGATTTATATCTGGCCCAATTAAATTGTTGCCGGTAGGAAGCATATCAATTTTTTTATTTTTTCTTTCAAAAGTACTTAGTTTTTCATCCTTGGATATTGTACCTCCAGTTGGGTTTAGTTTTGATGCGTTTTTATTAACTTTATTAGATAACACATTTGGATTCGTATTTACCGGTGTTGTTACAATCGGAATTGATTGCAATATTGAACAATTTATATCTTCAACAACTTTTTCCTTTATTAATGCATTTGCTGAAGAGGATGTATATGTTGGTTCAGAAAAATTTGAGTCTCTTATTTCTTGCTGTTGTTTTTGCTTAGTATGACCAGATTTATTTTTGAAAACTGATTCTAAAGTGGAAGTTGCTGAGGCAGTTGGTGATGATATTGGACAATTATGATGTTCTGAATTTGATACACTACCACCGTTTGATGAACAAACTGAGATTGTATCAGAATTTTCGTTGGAATTTCCACGTTTACGTGCTAATTCCAGTTGAGCTTCACGTTCTCTCATACTTGCAGTACGTTCTGGTTTACGGGGTGCTATCGCTGAACGAATTTCACCTAAATGACAAAAATTATGCAATTTTATATATACATGCATTAAAATATAAGTACTTTAATAGTTTACCTAAATTGGCATAAACATTATCAGCTTTAGTTTTAACGGATCCACCTTGTTGTAAATTTATATTAAATCCAATTTTTTGTTTCCGTCTTAGTTCCGCACTTTTTGGTGGCGGAGGTCTAGCTGGTTTATTAACTTCTGTTGTAAGTTTGTTGCCGTCAATATTCAATGTACGTTGCGGAGGGGCCGGAGGTTTTCCACTTATGATACCTGCTGCAACAGCAGTTGTTATTATATCTGGAGTTGTAGGGCTTTTTGGTATATCTTTTACAACTTCGACACCTGTTGTATTAATATCAATTGGGTGAATGATAACCAAACGCGGCTTACCAACTGTGTTATTATCTTCTCCAGTGCAAATTTCCGAATAAATTTCATCCTTTTTTTGAAGGTTATCAGTAGTTTTGCTTGTCCCCATCCTTAAAAACTTTTTGATAGAAAATTTGGTTTTTGGTTTTTGTTTTGCTTTATCTATTTCGGAAGACAGACATTCTTCTGACATGGAAAGATTTTTTCTAGGTGTCGGCTCTGGAGTTGATGGTTTCAGTTCCGATGTCGCAATTATAAGCTGTTGCTGATTTTTTCGATGACTAAAAGTATTTAAGCTTCTAAATTTGGGATTAACTATTGCACGTTCCCGTTTATCTTTTTCTCGAATTACTGGAGAAGTAGATTTGAAATTATTTCCAGTTTGTAGTTGGGGATTTCTCATATATATGCATGAATGAGGGTTACTGTCACTAGATGTGATTGATTCAGATTTACTATTTGTTGATAAGACTGGAGAAGAAGAGTCAACTGTTTTCATTGATGTCTTAGGGCTAGACTCTCCAAATGAATTAACAATTTTCTTAATTTCGGCTTGTATTTTAGGGGGATCCATATTTAAGCTATAATTTTTATCATGAAGCTGCGGCGGAGTTGGTGGTGGTGTTGGCAAGTCTTGCATTTGTAAGTTTACCGGAGGAGGATTTGGAGCTCGTCCTTTCTTCAACATTTTCGAAACTTCACTACCTTCTCTTCGGGAGAGCGTATCTCGAATTTCTGGATTATCTAGCGTTTTTGAAATCGGCGACTTAATCACTTGTTGCAATTGCGAAACTACCTGCTGTTCTGCTTGTGTGGGTTGCCTCTTTGCGAAAGTTTTTAAAACATTAACGCTGGCAGGTTTTGCTGGAACGTCCGGCTTCTTCATAGCATTAATGGATGATATATTTTTTTGCATTCCATGTAAAAAGGATGACCTAGGATCGGGCATGGCTGTTTTTATTTTCCCAACTGGTGATACAGGAGACGTTGGCGGTGGTGACTTAGGTAGTGCTGGTAAGTTTTCTGCAATATCACCCTTTGTACCATCTGGATCAGCACTTCCGTCAGGTTCTCCAGCCAGTTCGCGACTCTTTTCAACTGAAAAAGTTTTATCTGGTATTTTTGTTGTTTTTGCTGGACAATTTACAGTTTTTGATGTTGGTTCCTCTTCAATCACTTGTATGTCTTCGTAATCCGAATTATTCGTACTAACACTTAATTTTTTTTCAAATTTATCTACTTTTGTTGTTTTGTAATCATTTGTTATAGAAATTCCTATTCCGGAATCTGATTCGCTTCGATTCATGTTATATGACGCTTCTTCATCGGAACTACCATCAAAACTCGAACCAGTTGAATCTAATGCATCATCCGAAGAACATTTCGTAACAATAAGTCCATCAGATGTTATTTTGCTTGTCATAAAACTTCCTTCATGCAATGAATATGATGCAGACGTTGTTCTCGATGACAACAGCATATCGGTTATATATTGCGATGATGAAAACGGATTGTTTTCCTTCTCTTTACTTAGTACATTCTTTTTTGAATTCGATTTTATATTATTATTGTCAACCTGATCCTTACTTTTACCATCTGGTAAATTTTCGTAAGCATTATTACCTGAAGAAGCGGTTGTTTCTACAACATCATAATAAGCGGAAATACCATTTTCGTTATCTGATGCGTTGTTACTGTCTGATGAGTCTATGCCATTTGATGTATATTTCGAAAATACCGTAATTTTTGGTTTTACGTGATCTTTTGTAATTGGAGGATTTCTGGCGATTGATTTTTTTAACTCAAAAGTTTTTGAAGATGTTGAAGTCGTTTCTGTAGCATTGTTGACTTCAAATTTAATTCTACCATCTTTTCCTGACTGAATTTTTGATGCAGATGTTGAGCTCGTTTCTATCGTCTAAAATAACAGAAAAATGAAAAAATAAAAATTGGTATATTATGTTTGTAAATATGTATGTAAGTATATAAGTTCATTGTATAGAATTATTTGAAATAAATCATGTAGAAAAGTGGGTATTACCAACAAAAATTCATATTTCATCATAAATTCCCCCAAAAATCGAGTAATTTCATATAAATATAAATAACTGTATTTGGTTTGATTTTTTATAGAAAAGTTAAATGTATACCTACGTCTCAGATAGCTTCAGATAATTAAAATCGTATTTTTTGAATTAGAGTGTTTTGTATTTACCCAGGATAAGTACCACAATGTTATAAACTACATAATTTATTTTTCTTAGAGACCAAAATAAGAAACTAAGCAAGTAAATATATTACTAAAAATTCTTCCAGTATTAATGAGTACATATATGTATGTATGTATGATTATGTACAACATTAACAAAATTAAATAATATTGCTCAAAAACTACTAACAAAATAATACAGCGAAAATTCAATTTCGCTTTAAAACTTTTTTTGTACTTGTACCTCTATCTGCTCCCAAATGTATGCAAAATTTTTTTTGTTATAAGTATATTCACAAAATACGTACTTACAACAAAGATAAAAATTATAGCGACAACTAAAGTACATTTGCCTGAAATGGAACCGAAACAGATTTACAAACAAAATGTTATCGTAATCATTACCAAAATTTTAATAGAAATTTGAAATTTTGATTTTTAATGCAAAATGTATTTCTACATATTTATGTATGTAGCATATATAAGGTTTTTCACTGTGCTGCAATCTAAGTTCACGTGCATTAGAAGTGAATTCTCAAAAATATAACAGCGATGTATAGCGAAACGTCTAAAAATACCTGTTCTTCAAAAAAAGTAGTAAAGAAAGCATATGAACCTAAAATTGAATATATTTACATACAAGTATATTATAAAAAAAAAATCATGTATTTTTTCACAAAAAAAAATATGTACATATTATAAATATGCATGTTATATCACGCAAAACAAACTCAAGGACTTTTTTTGAGTATATAGTTTATGAGGATTTTTCATATTATTTATGAATGCAAAATTTTTCTTTCAGAAAAAGGACGAATAAGAGTATACCCTAATAAAGAACGCTATATGTACAACTTAAGCCAATCCTATACAATAAAATTGTAGTTTCACAAAGTAAGTAATTATATAAAAAATTTCAAAGACAAATGCATATTGTAACGTTAAAACTAAAGAAAATACTCGTAGGTAGGAGCAAAACCAACATGTGCACAATTTTTATTATCGAATAAAAAATGTCATAACGTAGCCGATAAGCACAATAATCTCGCTTTTTATATGTATACATACATATTTGTGTTATAAGTAAACTTTAGAAAAATAAAATAATTTGTGTTGGTCATTAAGATTAAAATTAACATGAAACTACTAAAATTTGGCTTTAGTGTTTTACAAATGGTTCTCATTGAAATCCTTCCGATAAAGGTCCTGTATTTCCCAGAAATAGTGTACTAAAGCAGTATTAAGTACAATTACATGTCGCTCAGATTGTAAATATTGCCAGTTGAAACTTTTTATATTCCAACTTCTACAAGAGCTATAAATTAATAAGTAAAGCGAATGTGCAACTTCCTATTATTACTGTTATGACATCTATAATATGAGTCCATCGATATTTTTGCTCCAAGGGTCTATTTTTTGACAGACCTGAATCTGCTCTGATTTAAAAAACAAAAACGCTCAAATATTTTCACAATACAAATTCATTTCATTCCTGGGTTACTTTTCTTCTCGTGACAATTGGCTTTAGGGATAAGCTGACCTTTCCGTCAAATGTTTGAAAAACTTCTTAAGGAAAAAGAGAATTTATTTAAGTCTGCAATGTAACAGTGATTTTTCAGTTTTGCTTTTTAGTTTAACAAAAATAAAATTGAAAAAAAAATTCTTTCAGTTTCATTTTGTCGTACTTACTGTTCACAAACTTTATAGGTGTTTTAAAATAAAAGACTTCACATTTCAATGGAGCGGGTATATATGTAAGTATGTAGAATTCATAGGCATCGACTTAAAATAAAACTGTTTCAATAGAAAGCATTACTTATGAAATACGCTTCTTCATAACTCATTGGTTTATTCCATAATTTCTTCAACGTTAAAAATATTTTTTCTAGTTACGTAAGTAATGTATAGACTACATATAGAAGTCAGGGGAGAAGCGTGAAACTTGTTATATGTAAATACATATTTTATTGGGACGCATTATTGAATATTTCATTATGGTCATGTTTTTTTTCCATTTTCTTTCTTTCTTCGTTTTTGTTTTTCTATATGTTTTTACTTTGTATCTAGAACGGAAATTTATTTGTATAGGAAAGGGGATATACAGAAGAAGGTTAATAGAGGAATTAGGTCAATTTTTTGAATGATGATTCAATGAATTAAAGGAAAATAACAATTTTTAGTAAATGAATTTTAATTCGAATAAATGTTAAATTAATGTTAAGGATTTTCCTAAACGTATTTCACTGTTACTAATTTTCCATTGAATAACAATGAGAATTAAATAGTTAATGAAAATCAGTTAAATTTTTTTTGTTTTTGGTAAATTTGATTTTGATTTTTGATTATAATTTGGTCGATTTAAACGACTCCTACTAGCCCATATACAAAAGAATTTCTTCATTAGTTATTTGAAAAAAAAAGCTAAATTTGAACAAGGATTAAAGTTAAATGCTTAATATAATTCATTTAAAATACTGTATAAACCAAAATAACAATTCAATTAAAAACTACTTTAAAGAAAAAATTTTTTTCCACTGTAATTTAGAAGAAAAATACTTCTGTCATCTACCAAAATACAGGTCTAACGTTAATTTCACTTATTAAGGATATAAGTTGTATTACTGAATAAATTAGAATAACATCAGTTCTGCATTTTGGTAAATGCCCTTCGTCTATGAGAGTAGTTCAATTCCAATTGCCTTAATGAATTAATAACGACAAAACTAGTATAAAATTAGGTTCTTGATCATAGTACCCTCTTTGCGTTTGAACACGGGTCCAATAATGATTCTTTTTACCTTATGCAGAAAATGGTAATTTTAGAGAAAAGGTTTACAATTTAAATTATGAAAATTTACCTTATAAATTATTGATATTAAAAAATCCCAAAAATATCAAACCAGATTAAATTTATTATAACAGTATCCAGCACGATATTCTAATTTTTTGCATCACAAACAAATTTTCTTTTTAATATTTATTTAATCTTTTTAATATTTTCTTGAAATTGTTTTGAAAAAAAAAAAGTTACATATGTACATACATATGAAAAAATTTAATCAGATGGATAAAATTTCATTTCCTTTTGACATCCTTTACAAAATATAAGAATTAAAAGTTGAAAATTTAAACTTTTCCTACCTCACAACCCTTGAATCTGTTTCTCTTTCATTTTACATGAAAGATTTAATGCAACTACATGAAATCATTTTTTATTCATACGTGCGTGTTTATTTTACAAAATTTTACATCTTAGAAATATTTACGATAAAATTTTTAAGAATGTAAGATTTTCATTTCTGGTTTTTAAAGAACGATAATAATTATTCAGAAGCCGAGTCGCAAGATATTGGATCTTCTGATTGAATTAAAAAAAATTAGATGCAAGATGAATAAAAGCTCGATATTATTATTATAAAACCAAACAAATTCATGCAAATAATTCATGTCTATAATGAAGTTTTTGGAATTTTCACAACTTATTGATTTGATTTTGGAACATATTGATTTGATGCTCAGACTAGGTAGTCATGATTATGGACTTGCGAAAATTTAAAGAGATCGTCTAGTCATTTAAAAGAAATGTGTATTGGTGTATTGTTGTAAATGGTACATTTTGAAGATTTCCATGTAATAGTGATTACGAAAAAATTAGATAAGGGATTCAAGAAGATTCAACATTTTATTCGAACGTGTATGCTAAAGGAAAAAAAAATCAAATGGTCAGAAAATAACCGACCGCAATAGGTATTGTTTAATTTAGCAAAAGTGTTATATAAAGATTATGAAAATGATTTTAAACACTTCTTTCCAATTTTAAGAAAGGTAGCAAGCTTTTAATAGGTATGTTAATATAGAAAAATGAAAATTTGACTCTTAGCAGAGTTTCGCTTTGTACCATCTGAATATCCTGAAAAGTTAGTTTAGCCGAAGATATGTTAGAAATTGTAAGATGGATTTCCAAGCTCTGACCTTCCCAAAAAATTTATAGGTTCATTGTTTTAACACCCTGAATTTAAATTTTATATAAATCGTTGATTATTTTTGAATCGGTCTAGTTCCCAAGTCCTGATATATCCCAAAAGTTGATCAATTCGCGACAAAGTATTAAAATATATTCACGTATAAAATCGATTCAGCCAAACTTAAGATACACATGTACACACACGGACCGACCGACAGACCGATATTTTTCTGTATCGTAATTTTTTTACGCTTCTCTACAATGGAGCAGTGTGTTTCTACAGAAAACTCGATACACTTCGTGCGAAAACATAAATATACAAAATTTCGTGCGATCACATAACCTCTCTTATTGTATGCAATGCAATAATTACTAGTAATTAAATAATAACTACTAGTTGATTAAATAACTGAAAACCCCAAATGTATGCTATAAAAAAAAGACATCACATAGCATTTTAAATCATCGCATAGACGACTTAGATTGCTTGTGGGAAACTTTACCTACTAATCTTTTGATTCGAATTTAGTGTAACTTACTTCTACATATTCTAAAATAATAGACTATCAGCCGAACCAATCGTAAAATCGTTACCTAATAAATAACAAGCTTACAGAAAAGGCTTCAATTGATGAAAACCATTTCTGATTTAACATATGTTAAATACGTAAGCTAATTTAAAAATTCTAGCTTGGAAATTTTAAAGAGTTGAATAAAGATTCGCTAATGTTACGAATATATACACATAAACATCATATTGATCATGTTAATTTTCATAATCATTTTTATTTAAAAAAAGTAAACTAAAGAAAAACAAATCATACAATATAAAAAAAATTTAAAGAATTGCAAAATTGAAATGTTTAACTTTGTAAATTTACATAAAAAAAAGATCAAACTAAATTAAACTTTTACAAAAATGTATTTATACAAAAACAAAAATTAAAACGTTGAAAAGTTTACACACAAATATTAGATAGGCTGAGATAATTACAAAATATGTATGTATAATATGTATAATAAACGTACAGATATATCAATGTATATGTAAATTAAAACGTGTATGTATGTATAATTGCATGTGTAATTAGAATTATCACTAACATTTTTAGGTAATTTTAAAATTAATGACTTTTGTTTTGTTATTTTTATAAAAAAATCTTTGTTTCTAGGATTTTTTGCTTTTCAAAAATAACACAGAGTGGCACAGAATAAACAGTTTGCAAAGCAATTCCAGCATAATGTATTCAGGAATCATGATTTGGTATTTAAAACCCGCACCAAATTCTTATTATTTGACAAGAAAAGTTATAAGAAATATTACTTTACAATACGAATTAAAGTTTCATCATCCAATTGATCTCAATTGTATGAAAATTGAAAAAAAATTATTTATAAAATTCATAGTTATTTTAAAATTTTTTACGCATTTATAATGATTTTTTTGCAAAGCGATCTTCAACAGTTAAGGTCCAATAGCACCTTATTATTTGTAAAATACTTTCATCGACAATACTACGTTAACTACATCAAATAATTTTCATCAAATTTATTTTGTACCACTTTGTTTAATCATGATTTCATTAATTATTTTATTAAATATCTACTTTTAATTGTTTATAACAGTAATTATTAGATTAAAATAAATTCTTTTTTTATTCATAAGTTCATAAAAAAATATTTCAATTATGTTTATGAAAAAAATGCTCTTTGTTTCTTCCGGTGTATGGCTTTTCGTGAATTGAAAACGAACTTTTTTGAAAATGTTTGCTAGGACTCCATATATAGTAGTTAGGGTTGCATACTCTTTAAAAATAGAAAAGCTGATTAATATTAAAAATTTACGTTAGTTTAGTTAATTATTTTATTAATTTTCAGGACAGTACACATATTGAATTTTTCGCACAAAAAAAAATTTAAGAAAAAAAATATAAAATTTTGAGTATTGCTTAACATATTCGAATCAAAGAAAAAAAAATTCAGCTTATTCTTTTTTAATTTGATTATGTCTAGTTACACTAACTCAAAGTTTTAGAATTTTCAAAAATGATTTTGTTTACCTGTTCCTGTTGTAATTTTTTTTGTTCTAAAGTTTCAGAAATCTCTTCTAATAGAGATTTTTCCATTGCTCTTTCGACAGGTGGACTGTTTGTACCGTCACTGTCAACTTGAGCTACAACAGCAGTTTCTAGACTATCTTTAACATTATTAATAATTGATGATTGCTGTATATTTGATGTCAATGATGTTGCATTTGTTGCTGATGTTGTGATTTTTTTATTATTGTTCAATTCTTTGTTTTCTTTTTTATTATTCGATTCTGATTTATTTGCAACTAATGTCACTGATGATGATGAGGATGATGTTATTGCAGATGTCGTTGTTGTTGACATTGACGTTGTAGTGTTTGTCATCTTTTTTTCCTTAGAAATTCTTTCGTACTCCATTTTACTTAATTCGAATTTTTCTTTCATCGATGACATTTTAACAGGTGCACCGAAAGGCTGTACACTAATTTTCAATGTTTGTTTTTTACCTTCTGCATCTAGTTGCGGTGCACCTAATCTTAATGGTGCAAATGATTTTTTAATATTATCAGTTGCATTACCTAACAGGTTACCATTATTCATATTAAAATCTGTATTCGATTTGGTCAAGCGTTCTAGTTCTAAATCTTCTTCATCTAAATGGACAATTTCTTCGTTTTGATTATTGCTATTAGTATTTGAATAGTCATTATCTTCATCGTCGGTATTATCACAATCTGACCAATCACCACCATAACCAATGATTTCAACAAATTCTTTTGGAAAACAAACTTTATTACTTTTTTTATTAATAGAAGACGCTGTCGATAATGAGGATGTTGTTAATAAGTAAGATGAAGATGTTAATTTGTTTTTAATTTCTTTATTCGGAATGCCATACTTCATAATTGATTTTATTGGTTGTTTTATTGCATTATTGTTTTGTATTGTTGCTGAAACTGTTGAGGTTGTTGAAGATTCAGTTGTTGTTATTACTGAGGTAGATATCGAAGGTGATGGTGATGGCGTTGAAATTGAATTCACTTTGGACATTATTTTACTTGTTTCAGTCTTAACATTTTTCGAATTCGAGATTTTGTGGTCTTCTTTGGATTTAAAACAATTCGAGCATAAGTCCTTACGCCATGCATTCTGAGAGAATTTTGGACAAATTGCTGATGATGACATGGTTTTATTATTTTTAGTTAAAAACATATGTATGAAAATAGAGAGACTCTTGAAGTCTGTTTATTAAATTTTTATTAGCTTAAATGTTAAAAAAGTTTCGATATTGATGGTCAGGCCATTATCTGAAAAAAAAAATAAAATAAGCATGTTATTAGAACTTTCTTTTAATTTCCAAAATTAAGAAAATTTTATGTCAACTTAAAAAATACTACAGGCAGGTGTCTTTTGACTCAATTGTTTTTTGACCTTATGACAGAAGAACCTTTTTTTAACTTCATGTTTCAAAATTCAATTTAAAATGTGTATATACTACGTACTTTATAAATATGTACTCATGCACATACATACATATGTATTTATGTATGTATGTTATACATCTTCCGGAAACGAAATCCATTTATACTTTTAATTGAAGTAGGGCTATGAAAATATAAACAATTTTTGAAAAGTTTTCAATAAACAATAATGCTGAATGTTAAATTAAAAATTGTAAGGCAAATATATTTTAAAGTTTTAAATGACTAAAAAAGTTCCTATTTTTTATTTTGATTGATATGCTTTAAAAAATTGTCTTTTCTATTTTAAAGTTTAAACACTTGAGACGTGGCAATCTTTACTCTAAATTACTTTAAATAATATAAGAATTTTCGAATTCACTCGATTTCGTTTTTTTTTTTTTTTCGAGACCACAAAAGATTTTCGAGCGATATGAGGGTTTAAGGAAGCAATATAACATCAAGAAAGATATACTATGATCAAGTATTTCGACATTTTCCACTAGACATTTGAACCAATTGCATTTTCTCTTACGAATCGCTTTTTATATTTAAAAGACAGATAACAAAGTTCAACATCAATCAAACAAAATAGCAGAATTCTCTTTTCCACAACGAAAGTCGTCTATCATTATAAAATATATTTAGGTCAAAAATTATGAACAGCTCTAACCATTCTGTCTAACTCCCCATAAAGTTCCTATTTAGTTTAAAATTTTCTTCAAAATGCAAAATTATCCAAATTGAGTTAGAGAAATTTCAAAATTTTTTCGTCTTTGCCGCCGAAGATCTTACAAGTGTTTCTATGTTAAGTCAAATGATATAAACAGAAAACTGATTCGTAGTAATAATTTCAACTTTAATAATTTTCATCCTTACTTATTACTACATTACTAACGTTATATATTAGACCCCATTGGACAAATGGTCAACTTAAACAGCCAAATAACATTAACAAATTTAAAGAAACATAATACTTGTCCGTCATCATCATAATTCTAAATTTATTATCAAGTTTATTATAATAAAATTTCAAATCTTAAAAAATTTTTTATAATTTTCTCAATAAAAAATTTACATAAATGAAAACTTCAAATAAATTAAAGAAAAAAAAACTGACTAAGGCAGTGTGAGCTAGAGCAATGACCCAATTTTTTTTTATGTTTTTGCATTTTTAATGAAATTTAAAAAAAATATATACATTATACATATATATGTGCATATGTATATGTACTTAAGTATTTTCGAAGAATATTTAAAATTTCTAAGTTCTTCTAATACACAATAAAATAAAAATCAGACGTCATTATTTTTATCTTTACGTCTGCATCATAAATAACTTTGTTCCGAAGATATTTTGTAGGGTGCCTTCACTAACCGAATCAAGAAAAATTTTATTGGCTCAAAATTTTTCATTATCTAATTGAAACTGAATACGAACCATACCCGCTTACATTGGCTTTGCAGTACTTATTAAATACAGTTTCGTTTTATAAAAGAAGAAACATCTGCTACGCGAATCATAGTTTACAAGTGTTTACATACGTATATTAAAATTCTTTGCAATTAAAATATTCTAACATTTGTTAAACACCTTGTAAAACATACTAAACACATAATTACATACACATAATTTTTCCTGAAAATGTCATCAGTTAATAATTTTTCTTCTATATTCTTTAAAGTTTTCAATCTTTGTTTAATAGCCACTAATATATTTTTGTTGTTGTAATTTTTACTACACCCAGGATTTATGTGATTTTATCGCATACAAATACATGCATACTCAAACAAAACCAGAAAAGATATTAAAAAATAAAAAATAAAATCAACATATAAAATTGTCCCAAATAAATGTTGTTGCATCATTATTGTCATCGTCATCTATTTAAACACTAATAAAATTTTCTAAAATGTTGAAGAAAGTTTTTCAACGGATTCTTTTTTCATTCTACAATAAAAATATATGAACAAATTTTTGTTCTAATGAGTCCATTACATACAATAAAAAAGGTATTGCGATAAGATCAAATTTCACATGCCGAACAAATAAACCGAAGCTTATTTCAATGGAAAATCTCTGTTTTTTTTGTTGAGAAACAAAAATAAACATTTTCAGCCAGATTTCGATCGAGTTTGCTTCGTCGATCTTCTTAACACGACAATAATTAAGGGATGTGTATATATGTTGGCCATCAGTTTTATTTGTTGGGATATTGATTAAAACTAGGTTGTTGAATAGGATTTGCGCGAATTTAAGCTAGTAAGCCGCAAATATTAATATTTAAAATACATTTTCGTAAAGAATTTTCACGATATCATTGTGCTTTTTCCGCGGACTAAAATAATGATTTCTAGAAAGCGGCTTATCATATACTATTCATTTGGTTTTTTTATGATAAGTGGTTTGTTTGCATAAAATTTTTTTGGTAGCATTTATTATGTTACAAGAGAAAAACAAAAACTGAATTTTTTATAATGCAGTCTGGGCTGCTTTTTAACTTTAACAATAAATTAAATGGGCAGAAATTTTTTGCGGCAACAATTCGTATTTTTTTATTATTGTTATTTTTAAAAAAATATATAATAAATGAACTGTGGAAATAATATAGCAATGAATTAATATGACTTTGAAGAAAAGAAAACAAAAACAAACTTCATTCAAGCTTAGAAAATTTATTAATTAAGCGCATAATTTTAAAAAATAAGAAAAAAAAGTCAAAATAGTTGCTGCAGTTGATATTATGAAATTTTTATATAAATGAATACTGACAGTAAAATTAAAGCGTTTCAAAAATTTTTATTCAAATTTTAAAATAAAGACATTAAATTGTGGAAAGACAGTATAGGTAAATAAAAATTTTTCCTGCATGAATTTTTGAAACTGATTTATTTTTATGTTCTCAAAAATTTTTCAAATTACTTTGAAATTAAAAAATTTAGGCTTCCTGATATTTTTGTCACATGCAACTTATAATAACAACTATAGTTAATAACGTGAAATATGCAAAGAACAAAAAATGAACAAATTACATATTTAAAAATAATTTTCGGCCCATTAAAAAATTTAGAATAAAATTCGCAGTGTTGAGAGAATGTACATATGTATGTATATATGTATATATGGATAAATGAAAACAGATTCATTCTAAGTATCATTAAAATTATATGTACTAAAATATTCGTAACTATAGTTTACTCCATTGCACATCAGGTCCGGGTCTGGGTTGTTTTGCACCCTACGCAGTTTCCAAAAAATGCGATTTTGGAAACCGCGCCGCCAATAATAAATTGCGCATAATAAGTTACTTTCATGTAAATTTATCATGCTGAATGCAAGATTAGTCATATAATTAAAGCCTGGAATGGCGTATCCACTTTCCAGCGCACATAATAAAAATTTAAAAACTAATATTTTTATTATTATTTGCAATTGATTATTTGGGCTGAATTAACAAAAAAAAGTTCTAAATCGTTACAAAAAATCCAAATTGCGAAGACCATAAAAGTTAAATCAAAAGACTATGTGCAATAATTTAAAATAAAAATCAATCAAAGAACTAATTACGAACTAGCAATAATTACGAACTAGCAACACTGAGAATCTATGGAAATTTCTTTAAGTTGTAATGTTCCAAAAATTGAAATTTTTTGCCACAATACTCGTATTAAAGTAACCACACGGATTTTTTGTATAAAAAAAAAATGTGGTAGATTGCACTCTATTTTCCAGAAATCACAGAAAGATTTATAATCCAACCACCATAAATATAAATCACTAAGAATTAAGTTTAACCAACGCCTATACGTATACATATGTAAATGTTTACTGGGTACCAAAAAACAAATTTAAATTAAATTAAAATAAAATTAAAGTTTCAACAACAATATTGCGAATGCGATATTGTTAATTTAAATAAATAACAAAGATTTACATAAGATCGCGGAACTATACAATTCATTGAAGTGTATCTCTCCTTTGCACTCACAGTTTGCATACTTAACATATAGGAGCATTTATGTACATAATATCTAATCTAAATGATCTTGATATTTATAAGAAAAATTAAAGAGAACTTCTCTTATTAGATTGTATGAACACAATGTCGACTTTTTATATATTCAAAATTATATTTCGTAGCCATTCAAAATTATTAAGGCATATGTACATACATATGTACGTATGTATGTATATTCATATACGAGATAAGTAAATAATTCGCCAAAATTTAATATTCTAATAAATATTTTATATTATTAACAATTCATTCAACATATTATTTCGAGCCTATAAATTTCTTACTGACTAACTAAGGTTATACAATAAATAAGCGCTAAAACTTTTTTTGATTGATGTGATAACCGTTATTCAGTCTACATTATAATATGCTCTAGTCTTCAGTATAATAAATATTATTATTCTGACAATGGGCAGAGAGAGGCGCAATGCGGTACTGTCGTTTGTGAATACAGTAGCATAAAAATCTATTGGTACATGCATACATACATATGTACATATGTAAACAATGCACATTATTATAAAGTAAAAATTTACAAAAACCAAAATACATACATGTGTACACGAATGTCGATATACTTATGGACATTTCAAATTTTGTAAATATTTTTGATTTAAATATTGTGGCCTATTTCTGTTCCCTTTTGCACTTATAAAAAGTTTCATTTTGAAATGGAAAATAATTCATGCATTACCAATTTATTAATTTTTTAAATGAGATTTCCTAGTCAATTGCTTGAATTTTTTTTTTCGAGTTCGTATATGCACCATGTATGCATATGTGTATATAAAAAACCTAACAAGCCCCATCTTCTATACATATATGCAT